GCGAACAACCTAGGAACGCTAGCAACTATCAACTCCAAAGTCTGGCTTTCGATTTTAAGAGCGTACAACAAGTTCACCACTAGCAGCATATCAGCTACAATCAAGACTTCCAATATACTAAAAAACATGGTTTTTAGGATATATACTAAGGTTATGTACTGGCAGTACCTCATCTAGGGGCCGGAGCAATTCAAGAATGAAATGAGTGTTGAACTACGCCGGTACCTGGGCAATGAAACTTAGTTTTGGTTTGTTGCTGTGTTCCCCTGTAACCCCATAATGATACGGGTACCCTTTTTCCTAACGTTCAGCCTTACTGAATCCCTACATTCCCACCCGGCCTGCCGTACTGGGTAAGACAATGTGGAAAGTGGACGTCTAGCGCCCCTCCGGGCTCCTCCCGTGCATCGGGCTGCCTCCAGCCAAATCTATTCTAGAGGCACTGGATTCATAACTCTGGGAGGCCCGGATTGGGCCCCTGAAAACCCCTCAATGCCCTGAAACCCCTAGAGGCTCCTGGAGGCCCCTGGAGGTGGCAAAAAGACCGACAAGGTGTGAATTGAGGGCGTAGCCCTAAACCGTAACCGGAAATAATTTGGGTGGTAGCCTGTGATGTCTCACAGGAGGTGGGGAGTTCGAAGAAAGCCCAGCTTCGATGGTCCACGAGGTTCGCTGGGCGCAGGATGTGCCGCCACCCACAGATCCCTGGAAGTGGGGTGGCGCCAGCGGCACATGGATACCCAGCTCCACGCAGGTAGACGCCCTAAACCTTAAACCCCTAAATCCCGAAACAGGACCCAGTCACCAGCTTGCCAGCTGATGCCCAGCCCATGCTCTTGGTCAGCACAGCGGGCACTTCCTGTCTAGGTGGAAAAGAGAGTTTTGGGTTTAGGGGTACGGTGTAGGTGCAGGGTTTAGGGTTCGAAGCACTAGTGGTCTCGATGTTTAAGGACTGAATGTTATCTACAGGGGTTATATGAGGTGATACAGGGATATGTAGTGCCAGCTCGGTATATTCATTCAAACAGCGAGAATGAAATGGAAAAGAACATGCAAAATGAAAGCCGGATGATGCAGGGATCTTAAGAGGACCCCCACCCTGTAATAGTGGTATAACAGGAAGCTAAGAGGACCCTAATACCTAACAACTAATATCTTATAGTTACCATTGCTGGGGGGGGTCCACCTAATAGGGATCTATAGAGGCCACATAGAGACTGAAAACGCAGTCCCCGCCGAAGGCCCTTCCGTATCGAAGACTCTCAGGGCTGGAAATTCCTAGAAGCTGGATTACATCTGGCATCAGCCTTGCAATGTGGCACTTCCGCAAAACTGGGCTGCCCCCCAAAAAACAGGAATAGAGCAGGATCATGTCAATGTGGGGATCAGGTTGTTGCCCTCCATTGTTGTAGAGGGATAAGTTTGAGAAACTCTTGCATGAGCACGCCACAGGGCGAATGACTAGCGTGTAAGGTAAGGCATGTACGGAGGAAACTAATGATCATATTGACAATAGTAGTAATAGTACTAGTAGTGATCATAGTAGTATGAATAATAATAGTACTAAGAAGAGTTGAAATGATAGTAACTATCCATCCCTAACTAGGGCTTTAGATACAAGGGCCTAAGGGCAAGGAGGTAGTGTATGCGTCTGACAGGGTTTAAGGTTTAAGGAATTCGCTGGTGCGCACCCGATTTTTTAGTGGCTTGCGGACTACATGGTGATAATGAGAGAATTTTAGGTGCCCCGTCAGGATTCTGACGGGCGGCTCAGAGAAACATACGACTTCAGAGCTGTCCATACAGCCATGGGCCATACTTCCATAATGACATGGACGGACCTTGTCAGGCCGTGAATTTGATAGAGACTTGATGCATAACTTCACTGGCGCCGCGCCTCTCAACTTCCATCTAGCATGTCCATGACCCTCTCTGAGCGCATATTGTCTCCTCTTCAAGCTCGAGCTAAATTTTCATACTTCAGGTGAGTTGTATGCGAGGGCGTATTATAAGGGTTATTAAGGGGGATACTTGGAGTTTAGACGATAGCTGAAATGGCTCTAGCTTCTATCATTCACATCTGCCACGCCATGGTTCAAATCCCGCAGACCGAAAGTACCAGACCCCTAGGCCCTAAACACTGCATACTTCGTGCTTGAGACGTCAGACTCGACTTATACTACCCTAAGGGTCCAAGTACCCGAATAGTATGCAATTTGGGCCCAAATTACTTATATAGGAACCCATTTGAGCTATCGACCATTTGAATACTTGGACCCAAAGAGCTTTAAGTATAAGGACAAGAATACCCTAAATGTAGGAAGAAAACAACCCTTAAGCCCTGAACCTAAAATCCTAAACTCTAAACCCTCCGCCCCTCCAAGTAGAGCTCCATTGCACTAAGGGTCCCAGGACCCAAATAATAGGGTTTAAGGGCCCAAATACTATACTATCAATGCAACTTGGGCCCTAAAACCCTTTTATTTGGGTCGTTGGACCCTTGTATAGTCCCATATATCCCTATATATCTCCCTATAACCCCTTTAAAGGAATCCTATTATTTGTTGGGTCCTTGGAATCTTAGGGTTGAGCTAGAACCATATACCCCGAGCCCAGTCCGCAAAGGGCACGATGGAGTCCACGGGGATCTTCAGCTTTCCCTCCTGATACTTTACCCAGAAACCTCCGGTGTAGTTCCATTTGGGCTACCCTAAGGGTCCATGTACACCAATAATTGGGTGCTTGTGGCTTGGGTAATATTAACTATAATGCAAGTTTTGGGTAAGTATATGACTATTAGGTACTTGGACCCTTAGGGGTAGTATATTAGAATCCCCTACTAAAAGCCAAAAAACATAGCAGGCAGGAACTACGTTGGAGCCATTCGGTAAATATCATATTCCACCATCCCCCGACCCTTTCAGCCCGCCCAGATATCAAGCCTGGCGACAGCAAAACGTAAGAAATTGGTTTGGGATTTGAAGCAAAGCTCAGAACGTTTTGCAGACTAAAAGGCAATGGATGCCACCACCCATGTTTGATTTCGAAACTTTTCGAAAAGTCAACGCCACCAGATATTCAACTCAGGGTCTTAATCACCCGGTAGCTGATTCGTAGCATACACTGTGCTGCCAAGAGGGTCCACAAGTAGCAGCATCGCGCAGCCCATGTTGCTATCCAAAGTACACATTCCTGTAATCTTCGTCTTTTAGCATTTCTTAACAGTTGTCGAGGAGTCGAGCATGACACTGAAAAATCTGTCAGGTGAAGAAATGAAAGACGCATCGTCTTGGAACATGAACCCGTAACCGCGTGAGTCGCGGTCCAAATCCTAGACTCACCCTATACCCTTTTAGGGTTTAGGGTTTAGGGTTTAGAGTTTAGGGTAACCCTAAACCCTGAACCCTAAACCCTAAAACTCTAAACCCTATCGTAAACACCAAAACACTGAAGCCTCATGCCCAAACTCAAACTCTCTTCAATGCCTCCCCACACACCCCCAAGCTGCCCCAGCCCCCCAACTGTCTTGCTGCTAAGGAACTTCAATCAAGTTATTACAAGGGCTTAAGGGTTTAGGATATAGGGTTTATAGTATAAACCGTCCGGTTTCCTTTGTATAGTAATGTCATTTGAGTTCCTCAACAGCAACCCAAAGAAGAGTCAACGCCAAGCCCTCCTTGACGAACTGGATCAGCTTTGTAAGGTCTTCAGTGTTGGACTTCAGCAAGAAATTCCTCGGCTTTGTCTGAGGGGAAGTTATATAGAAGATTATATAGAAAGTTTTGTAAGGGATGCTAAGGGAGGCTGGGTGAGAGCCATCACAGACTCTGGACAGGGCCCCTAAACCCTAAACCCTAAAGCCCCTAAACCCTAAACCCTAAACCCGAAACCCTAAACCCTAAACATTAAACCCTAAACCCTAAACCAGCAAGGGACCTGGGGGACTCTTCAAGGACTTCGAGCCTGAGGGTTCTACCAGATTATATCAGGGCGTGCCATTTTTGCCCACAATGCTTGGGATTAGGGTTTAGGGTTTAGGGATTAGGGTTTAGGGATTAGGGTTTAGGGTTGGGGTTTAAGGGTTTTGTAGCCCTAAGGGTCCATGTACCCAATAATTGGGTACTTAGGGTGTTGGTAAAGCAATTGTAGTACAGGTTTTGGGTAAGTGTATGATAATTCGGTACTTGGACCCTTAGGGTTGGAGACTTTGTAGATGGCTGAGATTCAAGTTTGGAGGTTGTCTCGAGGTCGTACTCCTCCTTTTTTGTGGTCTTGGGTGGTAGAAGAGGGAACAACTAGAAGCCCTAAACCCCTAACCCCTAACCCCTGAACCCCTAAACTCTAAACCCTAAGCAGAGCCGCCCTAACGTGGTAGATGGACGACTTTAAGATCAGAAAGATTTGGTGTATGCATGCGCCCTAAACTTATTGGTTCCTAGTAGAGAGTAAGAGAATATATTATATAGATCTTTTATGGGGTTTACATTTCCCTGAGGGTCCATGTGCCCAAAAACTGGGCGCTTAGGGTTTTGGTAATGGTCAATCTAGTACACGTTTTGTGTAAGCATGTGATGATTGAATACTTGGACCCTTAGGGTAAACTTTCCAAACGCAGCCATAAGCATCTGCCATACCGAGGACTTGGATACGTTGAGAACTTGCAGAGTCATAGCAAGTATTGCACAACCATCGTTTGTGTAAGGCAAGCAGCCTTACACGCTTCATGAATGCGATATAAATTTACCATAATCCATCTATACTATACTTACACTCTACCTATGATCTACTACAAGTTAAGCCTCTGCTACCTGGACAGGAAGCTGTGCGCCCAGGAAAGAGGTTTCTCTACGGCAGGAACAGGTGAATGGAATCGGCTTAGGGTTTTAGGGTGTCCTCATAGCCGTTAGCCCTGAAACATAGAGCTACGCTTGGCAGGCTGTACAACCCGAATCGCAAGAAACCTAATCTCCACCTCAAACAGATGAACCAATCCCGGCGTCTTGAAAAAGTGGTCTTCCGTGGACTTTGCGTCTCCGAAGTTGGCGATGCTAACCTTATATGGGGCCATCAAGCAGAATGCACGTATTGGGATACACTGCTCGCATCAAATACTATACTCACAAGGAAGATCTAGTTGGAGGCAGTACTGCCGATTATAGCAGCTTAAAGAAAGTGTTGCTCCAGTGTCGCTGTACAACTTCATGGGGCTTACATGCTCTTGATACTTGTGCGTAGCGCCCACTCACTCCAACCAAGTGTATCTGCCTACGAGATCCCTGTAGATCTCCTGTGGATGGGGGACTTCTTGCATCACCTCATATACCCTACACCTAGGAATTACAGTATCATGGGTTCCGAAGAAGTGCAAGAGTGCCTCCATCCACCGCCTGAAGCAAAACGACAAGGAGCAAACAGACCGCCCTTCTTCAACACTTTGGCAGCCTTGGCCCAGTCCTCAAGATCTTGATTAAAGGGCTAATTACTGGTGGCTCGTGGGGAATGAAGCGATGGAAAAGCCGATGGGAACCACTTAGAGAAATCTGCGGGGCTGCTTTTGGAATACATTCCTCCATTCCTATCACAACCCCAAAGTTCATTTTTAAGGGCTTATAGAATTCAGGCCATGGGAGGGTATGATTACTGGAGTCGGAACAGGGCTAAGAACGTTTAGCTTCAAGAGTCTAGAAGTTCGAGGTCCTCATTTCCTTCACAACTTCAGGATAAGGATCAGGCGATCTAGATCCTAGAGCGCCTCTATACTACTACTATCCCTCACGGACTCTTTCGAATTCCGTCCTCCGCCTCACCGACGCAGTCGAAGATCTGGTCATACTCCTGGTCACCATAGCTTGCATGGTTGGTTCATCTTAGCATGAATGCCTGGGTCAGAGGGCTGGGAAGTCATGGAACGCATTCCATGCAAGCAAGTCTTGTGGAGCATCTATCTAGGGTTTAGGATTTAGGGCTTATGGTCTAGCAAAAGCCTGCATGCTGATTTGCGGAAAATGCCCGGGCATCTGCTCTGCAGCAGTGCCGTGGCCTACCTCCTGCTACCTTTATACTTCTCAAGAAGGACATGACTGGAGCCAGTATTTGGCGTATGAATAAAGGACATGGGGTCCTCTTGAATGTAGCAGGGACTTGACTATACTGAACTACCAAAGGGACCCCTATGTCCAACCTTAACGGTCCTTGATGCCCCTTGGTAAACCTAATACTGACAGTAGCTCGGGTGACGTTCTCCCTGTTCCCTGCATGGCATATTCTCCTGATTGGCTTGTCCCCGTCCTCTTGTACCAGGTTTAGAATTTAGGGTTTTGGGCCCTCTCAAGCCACCCCGTGATATCAGCATGTAGCACACCACGGGCTTCTAATTTGTCAAACATATCGTTGAGCATATCCCCCACGGAGGTGCAAGAGGCCCTAGTTTTCCTTGCTTCCCCGCAAAGCCCCCACCTGAGGGCAACTAATTCTTCAATGACCGTCTGACGATCACATGGGGCCATACGGTTCAACTTTAAAGCTTGCGTCGCCCCACCTTGCAACACTTGATTAATGTTTTTTTGGTGGTTAAACCTAGTAAGATTGTATTCCTTATATAAAACTATTCCCCAAAAAGAGGACATAATCTTACTCTATATTGGGCACCATAGTATCCGCAAATAAAATAC